TACTTTTGGCAATAATTATTGAAAACCTATAATAAATTTTAAATATTTGACGCATGTATGAAAATTATAACAAATTTCATCGAATTTGCGTCATTTGAAATAGCCAATCAGAACGAGGCAACGCAAGAAGCACGACGCAAAACGTTGTCATGAAAACAAAGCTTTAAGCTACCGTATGGTACGTACATGTTTTACGTACATACAAGATACAAAACCAGACTCATTTTAACCCTAGGGGAAGTTTCCTTCAGATGAATTTTCATAAAATAAGTTCGGAACTCACCAGTTTTGTGTCCACGCTGTACGGAATGGCGAACAAAAAAGTCCAAGTCGTTTTCATTTTCAAATTGAAGCAATTTCTAATTTTCGGGGCGGCAAACTGTGACGTACATTCTGAATCTAGTCTGAAAATAGCTGATGGTGGAGAATATAGCTAGCAAATAGGTATCGAATGAAAAACGAATGAAAAAAATAGAAGAAGAAGTAAAATTGGTGAACAAAAACATATATAACTACAAATGCACTCGGAGCAGGAATGCAGAAGGTAGTTGGCTTCATTCTGACAAGATATGGTTTTGGTATTTATGCATTGAAATATCTCGAATAGAGCTCGATCCTAAACGGAAATGTCATTGAATCAATGAATCACTATCGGCTACATTCAATGATACTATTGATACTATCCTTCCTAATTTACTGCCATCGGTCAGAACAGAATGAAGCCGGCACCCATTATGCGCTGTTGCAAGATATAATCTGCAACAATCCTAGAAAATAGATCCGTTTTATCAAGGAACGAGTTCATTAGCAAAAAAATGACTGACAAGTTATGAATAACATATTGTAATATAACGATAGTGAAAAATTATAGATACTATCGCAAAATAACTCAATTTATCTTTATTAGTAATCAACTTCATTCAGCCAATGAGAGATTTATATGAATTATTCATAATACTTGACAAAGCAGGATTGAAGAACCTATTACATCCCATTGCTGTTATGATATAGTTATTATGCATTCAAAGAACAATTTCCGAAAATCTAGACATAATGATAATGTCGGCAACGTCGTACTGACACAGGCAATCGTATTTTAACTCTGTGTGAATGTGGATTTTCAGAAAATACGTCATAGGAATGGTGGAGGAGCCAAGTTCCTCTTTTATTATTTTTTTTCTGAAGTGAAATGTCATCGTACGAGAAAAAGAAAAAATACGTATATATTATTTTTTAACAAACTTCACAGTTAGATAAAAACCTCAATATAGGAAACTTCCCCAGTCTTCGCTTGCTTTGATATTCGTTGCTGCAAGCCCTTCGTTGCAAAATGGAAAAGATTTTGATATTCGAAGCTACAAATAATGATAGCGATGCTAGTAGACAATTTAGGTCATCGAAGGGAATTATATAGAGATATCAATTAAAACAATTTATTTGAAATAGAATGTAAAAATCTATTTCGATTTGCGAAAAATGACACTCCAAGATTAGCTAGAGCCCTAGGATTCCTAGGAATACCAGGAAGCTATAAGTTTTCCAGTAGTTTACATTATATTCATTTGGATGAGGTTCCAACGGCCCGTGTCTTCGTAGGGATTATGGCCTACAACTTCCCTTGCTAGATGCGAATCATCTTCCAAAGAAAAGAGAATTCTTTCATTTGAATTGTCCATGATTTCTTCGAAGCACAGCACAAGAACGAAGCGCAATAAAAAATAAATGTGATTTCATGTGATAAAAGTGAGGTTAAAGTAAAAACCGAATAGTTATTGTTTGTATTCGCTTAGATAGGTAACGCCTTCGGTGGTTCAATACGACTTGCGTTCAGCGCCAGCGTAGCAATACGTAAACATACGTCGGACGCAAGCGTCGGACGTATCTCCTGGCGTAGGAAATTCGCACACTGCGCATGCTTAGATGTCAAATTCTACGTTTACGCTTACGCATTCTGCATTGCTTTAACTCCTTATTGAATTACAGGCACATCAACGTGTCTCTAGCCTCTGCCTTTGGGCTAATCTCTGGTTTTGAGTAACAAAATTAGTGACCATTCAGCATTCAGCGAACTTGGTTCGCATGAATTCAAAACGCCCCGAACCAGAGATTAGCCGCTCTGTGGGTGGCTAATCTCTGTCCCGAACTGTCGTATCTAGAGACAGGACACAAAGAGACAAGACGCAACAAACAATGCGGAACACGTTTTCTGGAAATTTCCTGAAAAAAAAAACATCAATGATCAACACATGTACAATACACATTTTTATACGGCTATAACACAAAATTACTCTTGTTTTCCTGTGTTCAATAAATCAGTTAGGTATACTTTGTATGGGTGCCATTTTTATTTCCGTATCGGATATCTACGAAAGCACCCTGGTGTCAAGCACACATTATAACGGTAATGCAATAGGAAGATACAACATTGATTAACATATTCGTATAAGGTGATCTTGTAGTTATCATACCTACAGAGAGAACCCACAATCTACTATATTATTTGTTCCGACATAATATTCTTCCATCATTTATACATGAAAATGTTTATAGATCGATATGGACTATTAGAAACATCCCATGAACTTTATTCAGAAATAGAACAATTTAATCAAAACACCAAGACTGAAAGTGGACAAATCAAATTTTTAGATGAACACTATCTAATATGATGAGTATACCTCTAATATATATTGCCTATACGACATCATCATATAATATATAGTACATTTTCTCATAATCATCATTGTTATAAGATATGCGATTCGAATTTACCGCCGAAGTCAAAATCAACCTGATTGGTCTAAAAGCTTGCCTATGCCTGTTATCGGGGCGTTTTGAATACGTGCCAATTGGTAATCAAAATTGACATTGACACTATGTGAACACAAAATGATGTAGTTTTCAATAAAAATAATTACACAATATTGGTTTTGTAAAATTTGGAGAAAATAGTATATTGTTAAACGAGCACGGAATGATCGTCAATTCCCACGAGAATGAAGCATGAGCCATAGGTGAATGCTGCAACCATTCGAGTGGGAAATTAGCATTCCGTGCGAGTTATAAACAATACTTTTTCTAAGGCTGCAACAGATAACAGCAAAATTTTGTATTTCTTCGACTTGTAGGCATCGGATTTTTCTTTAAGTAATGCTCATCTATTAGACAGAGCTGTCAAAACTGTCATTGCTTGTAATCTGACTTTTCATGAAAGATGAGATTTTTTTGAAATAATAACACAATGGGGTCATTGTGATATCAGATATGGAAATGAAATTGATGACATACAAAGTACCTCACTGATTTGTCGAACACAGTAAAACAATAGCAACTTTGTGTTATAGCCGTAGAAAAATAGTATATTGTTCAACGAGCACGGAATGTTGGCGAATGCTGCAACCATTCGAGTGATAAATCAACATTCCGTGGCGAGTTATACACTATACTTTTTCTAAGGTTGTGACAGATAACAGCGAAATTTTGTATTTCTTCGGCTTGTAGCCATCTGATTTTTCCTTAAATAATGCTCATCTATTAGACAGAGCTGTCGCCTGTCAATGCTGTCATTGCTTGTTATTTGACATTTCATGGAAGATGAGATTGTTTTGAAATAATAACAATAACACAATACACAATAGAGTCATTGTGATATCAGATACGGAAATAAAATTGATGACATACAAAGTACCCTATTTATTTATCGAACACAGTAAAACAAGAGCAATTTTGTGTTACAGCTGTAGAAAAAATTTTTCACACGGCAGCAAAATGCAGTAAATTTTTCAGGGGGGGAAAGAAAACAAAAACATAAATAAAATAAGTAGAGAACGGAATTCGAATACACGGATTAACCAGCAATTATACGAGGATTATTGTTAATCTTAGCAGCCCTCAACCACATAATTCGTCATATGGTTTTAATTTGTCATAATAAGAATCAACATGCCACATATAATTTGGTCCTTTATTATATGCCCTTCGTCTCAGCCTATTTCTCGAACGCAGTTCAACTCCTGGGTTTTTTCCTTCAAGAGACGCCTCACAGTGTTCATTTTGACTACCAAACCATTTTGTAAACATTTCAGGTGCATCCATTGATATCCATGCAGACTACCTGAACCAAGTATTTGTTGGTCAATGAAGTCTGATATAATTGTTAGGTCTGTGTAATTTTTCCTTCGATACAAATTGAGTTGTTTCAAGTACCTTTTCAACTGCCTTTCACTGATCAGAATGTCATATGTCGTAACATCAAAAATGCTTTTATTTCGGAAAGATTGAATCCTACCTGAAAGTATCGTTTGATTAACTGCTTCACTTCTACCATGATATCAATTTATAAAAGATATCATGCAAAATTGAGTAACGTTGTCGAAAGTTCAGAACTTCAGAACATGACAACCTAATATGTAGAAATAAGGTATTTCATTTCATCTTTCATCTATGGTCATTTTACACACCACACAGTACACACCAAAGAGGCACAAAGAGGGGAGGGTTCTTTTTCTCTATCTCTATGAAAGTGGGATTGTTAAAATCACAAATCCACAGCCCTTGTCCTTATTGGTCACATCTTGATCACGTGATCTGGCGCAAACGCAGTCACTATTCTTGACTGCACGAACAATAAAATATACTTGGCAACACAGCAGCCGGAAAAAATATCTCTATGATTTTTATAAGCGGCTCTGAAGGGACATAGGAGATATTTTTTTAAAATTATTTCACATTTTACTTTAGCAGCCCCGAAGGGACATAAAAATGTGGGAGATATTTTTTTAAAAAATATCTCACCATGGCCCTTCAGAGCTTTCGTAGTATGATGTTGGAATTCAGAAGATGATTCTAGAGACTTATTTGTTCGAAAGGAATTGAAAACATCATCAGACCATTCCATCCCAAGCCATATACTTATTCATTTATATTCATGTATGATTTCTGGAAAGTGTTTGACCCAATTCAACAAAACATATCATGATCATACTGATGAAGATCTTCTTTCAGTTGTCGTTCCCCACTATCATGTTCATGAGCTCATCTTGTAAAGTTTTTTCTTCGTTGTTCCCATCTTCATTTATCGAAATATCTCTCAACAAATCCTCAAATGTTTCTCCAACGATGTCAACGTCAACATTGTCAAAAAGTATCTTGTTACCTGTTGAAAAACCATCAATTATAAAACGTTCCAGAAATTGCAACAAGATGACGATTTGCGATTCTCATTGGCAACTATGTCCTCACTCTTTTCATAAGCTTACTCCCAATATTAATTCCTGATAAAATGATGTTTTTTTATCGATAAACATAACATACCGTTAACGCCATCATTGTTTTCAATCTCCCTACTTATAGTCAACTTGAAAACATTTCTATTTGCTTCGCTGTTCTCGTTTGTTCCTCTTTCTCCTAGTATCTCTTCTGCAAAATCTTTTACCTCATTAACAGTTGACATTTGAGCTGCATAGTTGGCATTTGGGTCCTCAGTATTTTCTAGTATTCTGCCATTCTGTGTGACTTGATAGATATTCTCGCCTGTTGGAAATAATGCAATGTTTGGAATTCTAATATGTCTGATAGGTACAATCATGATATGATAATGTCATGATGAATACGAACAACTTGTGATTTTATTGGTTTTGTCTTTGGAATTTAAGAAAAAAGTTTCCGAGCGACCATAAGCGCTAAAAGCAGTAATGTCCAGTTATGATTCATTCCTGTTCCCTCAGATACATTCATTGGCGGCAGAACAACTTTTATCCGGGGAGGGCTACAATCATATAGACTTGTTTAAGTGAATTAAAAAAAGTTTTCTGCAGCACTCATAAACAATTGACATTTTATTTATTGTAATATCACAAAAATGATTGTCATTTTCGCTTCTTTGGAGTTTGTATTATATTATATACCTAATAGATTCAGTTGAAGAAAAATTTATATTTTCAGTTGAGGTAAGAAGACAAGTCTCAAAAATTTAAAAATAACGATAGTGAACAAAATATGAATTATAATGACAGGTTTCTCTTTTTCTTTGCGAATATGTCCAAAATATCAACGTCCTTTTAGTAACGAGTATTTTGAGCACGAGCGGAGCAGAGCGGAGCGAGTGTCTAGAAGAGTTTTTAAACGCGTTACATACTATGCTTTTTCTACGAACTCCGAAAATTACATTACCATACCTGCTATTGCTGCTAACCTACAAAATAATTCGAAAGGAATGGGAATTGAGAACATAATACATGCAACTGCATGCAACCAGCGAGACACGTATAAGTAATATTGGTTGTAGATGTGTCCACTCCATTGCTTCCTAACCTTTGTTTCACGTTCATTGTCATGCTTAGCGCAGAATGAATAAATTGTTCTCAAAGATGGATGCTTCATTTTCAATACTTCTTGGAGATATGCAAGTACCAGAACATTCTCTTCGATTTCACTTTCGTCTACATTTCGCATATATTTTCAATGAAGAATTCTGATACAAACGAATATTGATTGAATAATTCTGATACAAAATTTAAAAATAACAGTTGTCAGTTAATACAATTGACAGACCAGACATGTCTCAAATTACTGAAGCTGTGTTTAATGAACTGCGTTGTCATGGTAATGTGTTAGAGAAATCGTGTTGCCATGGTAACCAGTGGCGGCTCCTCAGAGGAGGCAACGGAGGCTGAGCCTCCTAAGAGATTCTCCTTGAACTGATATTATCTATACTTCCTCATTAAAAGGACACCAAAGTTCATGGATTTTGATTTTATTTCCTACCTATTTTTGAATTGGCAACAGTGCTTGCCCACGCATCACACGTTGAAGTCTGCAAATCAGGCGTAAAATATTCAACTTGGCAACATCTATGGGAGGCTAGACTCCTCCACATGCGAAACCCACGCGCGCAATGCAAATGCCCGAATACACCCGAATAGCACGTGTTTCTCGTGTTGCGTCGCAAATTGCGGACAATCCAGCGCGAGTGCATTGTTTATGTTAGGTTAATGGTTAGGGGCTCTAAAAATTTCTGAAAAATGAGTGTTTAAAACGATTGCGATTTAGTGGAATACTTTTTGGTGAATCCATTCAGTGCTTTGTCTTATGAAGATAAATTGATTGTAAAAACAAACGTTCGACACCGGAATTAAAAAATCTGATTGTTACAGGTAACAAACAAAATCGTTCGTTCAATTCTGATAATTATAAAAAATATATCTGGTTGACGGGATCAGAGGTAAGGAATAAGCTATTTTGTTGGTACTGCGTATTATTTTCAACCGATAAGTCATCATGTTGGGGGCGATTAGGATATAATGATTTGAAAAATTTGCCTCGCGGACTGGATAGACACTGCAAATTACAGGAACACATCTCTTCAAGTATTAAGTTCAGGTTAACTGGTAAACAAAATGTCATTAAAGCTATCGATTTGGGTGAGTCGTAGAGAGTTGTTTTTTACAATAATTCTCATATCATTCAGCCTCCTCCGTCATGAAAGTCACGAGCCGCCACTGATGGTAACGTGTTTAATATTTTGAATAAATCACAGATCGACAATCCGTGATTAATCGATCATTTAGCGTGGTACATGTCTGTACGCTAAATGCTATTTTAGTTATATGAGTAGAAAAACAGTATTATGACGTTACGCTTCACCAGACAGAATCGAAAACTAAATGAAATGAGCATCCGCCAATAATAATCCTAGAACGGTTCATGCTCGAGAGCAGGTACTGGTTTGGGATAGTTTTAGGACCGTCCCAGAGTCCCAGGACGATTCTGAAAAAACCCGAACGCGTAGAGAGTCAGTCCTAGAAGAGTAAAACTCTTGACAGTTCTTGAACAGTAATAATAGTTCGAACCCGAATGAACCTAATATTGATATCGTTTAATTGGAACAGAAAATTCAGCAGAAATGTAAGGTTATACCTAACATTATATGACATTATGTTATCTTTCGTAACAAGTGTATTCGATGAATATAAATGAAGTTTCTCAAATAAGCGACTGGAATAAATTATAGAATATAGTAATTGATACATTATCATACTAACCTCGTAGAGGAAGTAAAGTGTAACTTCACAGCAGAGGTGTGACAAAAAATACTCACCCAAATTCCTCAACATATCAGCAGCACTTGGATTCAAATTCTCCTGTACAAAACTCCCATCCATGGTCTGCAAACCCATCCTCAAGAGCAGCGATACTTTGACATTGTAATTCTTCAGCCACTTAGTGACTTCACTGTGTAAAGTTCTCTTTTCGTCCGGGTCGAATATTTTGTCGAAGTTCTCTATCAGGTTTTGAACCTTCTGTAACTGTTGATGTGCAACAGGATTCGTTACGTGGGTTTCTATTTCATAAAGATGACGCAATGTCAGGCCTGAATAAGAAACAAAGAACTAAAACTCTAACATCACCAAGATTTTCGTGAATGCCATTTTTTGGCAGAAAATGTTATACCTAACTTTCGGCCAATTGAAAATCTGTATCCTGTATATCGTTACCTTAGCAACTAAACTAATCTCCGGAAATGTTTCCCTCCTCCTTGGGGAAGGAGCATGAAATAACACTGAAAATTTCATACCAGCTATTTCCAACCAATCAGATGCTTCAATTCAACATTGTTACTATGGTATCAGCAAGTTTTTTGGAAATTTTTCATCCACATGATCATGTAGACCAGTGGCGTAACTACTATACCGCGAAACCCTGCGGTTGCGGGGGGAACCGTTCCTCGGAGGGGGCCCAGGGTCCACCAACCAGAGCAAGGACTCAGCCGACAAAGGACATCCCTGGGATGTCCTAGTATAAAATCAGGGACGTCCATGGGAAGTCCCTAGGATGTACTGGTGTTGTTTGGGGTATTTCTGACATATTTAAAATAAATAAATAAGTGAATCATGTCCGTGTTCAATGAATCAAAGTGTGATCATAAAAGTAACGTAATACTTAGAAAGATATTGTGACATTGGACAGTAACAAAATTTTCAGATCAAAACTACTCAAAAATTTTCTTTAGGACTCGGTTCAAGTAAATTAAACAGCATATATGAACTATGAGCTTTTAATGTTCTCTATAAAGAAAATATAACTTCCTCAAATATTTCAATATTTCAAGAGAAAGTTTTTGATTGTTCAAGATTTCAACATAATAATTTGAAAACATACTAATACCTCAAAAGATGAGTATACATAATATCTACTACTCGAGTAACAATGAGGCAAATATATTTTCAACTGAATTAACCATAAATATCTAAACAAATTAGAAAATAGATACTTCTGGGCCGCTTCCATTGATATAGATAACCCTGGATAACCATCGTAGTTACAACTTACAGCACCAGCTGCATATTTGTATCAGTAGGTACGTTCACAGCCAGCACTATAACGAAATTTTGCTACATCCCACACCTTCACCAACACGACACGACCCAATCGATTCGGACGATCGAAACCATTGAACAATAGAGAACAAAACTGAAAATGAACGCGATGTCAGCCCCAAAACTGATGAAACTAATGAAACTAGAGCGAAATAAGCCGAATTATGATTGTCGAATGATTGTCTAATAACCGTCATACATGTGAATTGGTATAGTTATTTGTCAACGTACAATGCTAGAAACCCAGACAGCAATGATTATTGGGGCAAACATTATCTGAATTCATCGAGAAGCATAATTTACAAAAGCTATGACTAGACTAGTGCCGGTCTTTTGGGTGCTATGCACCAGGCGGCAAAATCTTCAGGGCGGCTACATGAAAATACAACTGCACATCTCTTGTCATCAGTCATTATCTGGATATTTTGATTTTTTACGAGATAGTTTTGATCACTACACTACCTAAACTAAAATTTATGGTAAGAAGTGAATCATCCCGAGAAAAGCACAATTACGAGAAAAAATACGGCAAAAAACCCGGTGTTTTATTTTAAGTTGCAGATTTAAAATTTTTCATCGGACTTCCACCTACAAATCTTGTTCAGAATAATTTGACTTTCTGTCCGAGATAGTGTCAGCAGATGATGGAAATTTAATCAAATTGGCAACTAAACTACAAAAAAAGTTTGAAGAGGATCTGGACAAATTTGTTTCTGACGAATGTTATTCATCTGAAAAAAACTGTTCTTCCTCCTAGATATACTAAAGCAGAATAATGTAATAAAATATCTTCTTTTCCCAATATGAATATTTGTTTTCGAAATATTGAGCTAACGATTTTGTCTCAACTGAAACAAGATCTACTGAATGAAACTAGTGTATAGAGCTTGTGAAGAGTATCATACATAAAGGCTTGCATTGAAGCAAGAAAACACATTCTTGTATTGTTACTTTATGTGCTTGGTTACGTCGTACTTGCCTATTATCATTTCAATCAATCAATCAATCAATCAATCAATCAATCAACTTTATTATTCCCAAGAAACAACATTTGTTCATAGCAGGGAACATAGTGAATACATAAATATATTTGACAAAATAAAATAAAGAAGACAGTAAAATAAGACTCACACTCAAAAAGAATCTTTTTTTTCAAGTTCAAATGAAAATGATCCTCAATTGACTCAGCTGTTAGGTACACAATTGAAAACTATAGTAGTTGTACAAGAAAACTATAAAAATGAGATAATATGTCAATATTACAGGAGTAGATGTTTCTCGAATTCTCTTTTGAATTTTTCAATCCTATTAATCAGCTTCAAGTTATTTGGTAGTGAATTGTATTGTATCATTCCATTGTGATAGATGGATTTTTTACCAATATCTGATTTAATTTTCTTGACAGAAAAATGATCTGCTTGTCTGGTTGTATGGTTGTGGTGATTACTATTGACTTGGAAAACCAAATTTGAATGCTTTTGACAATGTTTAACTGAATGAATGAACGACATATACCTATTCATCTTCCTTGTTATTCATTATATGAACACTGAAGAATTATGGTTTTAGTTTTATTCCACAACATCCTGTTTGTTATATAATTATATTTCTCATTTTGTTCATCAAACGTCTATTGAAAAAAATTGTGTGCGTAGAACTTCTATGGTATAGGTACACTGCTTATATGATTATGTCATTCTTATAGTACGCGGCACCCGGGACGCGAGTTTGCCGTTTTACTCCCATCCCAGAAAACGTCCAACGTGCTAATAGAATTCATTATCACTCCAAAAATGTGTCATGGGAAAAAACTCAAAGACCTGGAAGATTAGGAATGTTTTTGAGTCTGAAGTGCGGCGCGTCCATCATATAGCACCAGGCGGCAAATCACCTTAAACCGGCACTGGTGGTAGCAAATGGCCATTCAAGGGTAATACAATATTTTTAAGAGAGCGATTTCAATAATAACAGAATGGAGAGAATACTGTTGTAATAACAAAATAATCAGGAAGAGATTTCTTTATAATGGTTATTGCAATAAGAGCTGTTTTTTTCAATTTTCAGCAGTTTCTCTCATGACCCATTTCAATCTCTGATTGACGAATAAATTCATCTTATCTTATCGTATTCGTTTTTTCTTGCTACTGGACATTCTTCTTGGAATTATAAGCGATAAACTAAAAACAGTGCAAAATTTCACTGTTTTTTGCGAATATCTCAAAACGCAACATTTTATATTGGATAACTCCAGATCCGGATTCAGCCACCCGAAAAACATAAGAAAGGATGATTAAATAGACTACTGGATATTTTGGACCGTAAAACTACCATTTATCTAAATGGATGTAAATTTCATCAATACTTTCGAAAAATTGAAACTTTTGTGGTATTAGAAGTGATAATCAACTGTCAACCTATCATATTATCACTCACCAATGATATTATCTGTCATGGCGACCTGCCATTTGAATACCATCGTTATGAGGTCCCACAATTTTGATAAGCTGATTGAGTCTAAGCGCATCACAGATGATTGAGTGACGTCATCAATTATGCTTCTCACGCAGTCTTCATCATAGGCTTCCTGGGGTCTCATCATATCCCCTATTAGTCTTTTCGATACTAGTACTGATATTATTTCCTCTAAAACTGACGTAACCAGGTTATTAAACTAGCTTAAATCTCAATTGTTTGATGTTTCATGAGCTGCTACCCAGATAGATCTAGATATTCCATGAATCTCCCTTTTATATTCGTTTTAAGGATATTGAAATATTGGAATGGAGTTATCTAGAATATTCTAAAATATCTGTGGTATATTCTCTAAATGTGCAAATGGGAATTCCTCAGATATTCATATAATATGCCCAAAACAATATTCTATGTTGAATGTGGAATATTCCAATAAACATATTTCAAAATAAAGAGAAGTTTCTCAAGATGGGGTCGGAACCTTGACTTCCAGACTGTATTCAGAATCGAATCATAAACAATTTTTGGTTACTAAAACCATATACATCAGGGTGACATTTTTGGTGATTATTACTCTCTTCTAAAAAATTACTGAATCCAACCCTGGAAATAAAAGAATGTTGATTATTGTTGAGCTGAAGAATTGGGAATAATATTATCCCTACTTTTATTCGTGAAATTCATGCGTAGCGAAGTATTAATTTTCAAATTAATACATTTGTTGCGAAAGTTTCGCGTGTAGTATAAATTAATCGTTTTATAAGAAATTTAATGAAAGTGTGAGGAAAATTTGAAATACTTCATCTTGATTGCCTGTTCATCAACTTTGAAAATTCCATAACACAGTTCACTAAAACCTTATACAGGGTGAAATTTTTGATATGAACCAAATTGGCAGAGTTTCTCAAGACCGGTCCTGGATTTTTACGATTCTGAATACGTCAGTTGATTGCTGAGTGACAGCATAATCATCCATAAAAAAATAAAAGGAATCGAAAGAACTGTTGGAAAGTTATGATTGAAAGAAGTTTTGGCCATATCCCATAAATCACCCTATAGATTATTTTAGAAGAGGCGGAGACACTTTCTGATGGTCATTTGGTATTCCCCTCAGGTGCCTTTATTCGTAGTAGGAGCATGTACAGTTCCTCATGACTCACCCTGTATACATCATTGAAGTTAGAAATCATTGCACTTCACATATCAACAAAAAAGTCTGTTGGGTTTAACTTGCAAAAATTAAGTTGGAGGTGGTTTTTCAGGGAAAGGTTGACAGAAGTTGAATTTGACAGAATGGCTTCAAAGTCATTTGGGTTTGACAAAAGTGTAATTTTTTCAATTCCTTTTCTAAGCAGCAGAATTGAGATATTGGCTTTATGAAAATATCTGGGACACCCGGTATATACAGCGTGTCAATATAACCAGTTTTTCAAAGACAATCATCATTTTAGACAGTGCCGTACATTTTTATTGAAATGAATAGAGGTCAGTTTTTTATTAAATCATATAAGGCATTTTTTCACAGGAAAACTGACCTCATAATATTGTTCTTCATGGTTTTAAATCCACATATGTGGATTTTCATAAGATGCCTATAAAGGGTTTCAGAAAAACAGGTACATCTAAACAGCATTTTTGCCAACGTAATAATTATTTAGTCGGAAACGGTGGTGAGTTCAACATAAAAAAGTTTAACTCGTTTTTCCTTTCAAATCACGATTTTCCACCTACCGGAGCCATTGAACGTTCCAAAATTCGTGGTTGATTTGAAGTCGAGACTGAAAATGAAAAAAATGAAGCCAATCCTTTTAATTCGGAATTAGGTGATTTTTTGCATATGGAGGTTCGAAAGCATGAGGAATAATAATATGAGGTTAGATTTCCTGTAAAAAGATGCCTAATATGATTTTACGAAAAATCGACCCCTTTTTAGTTCAATAAAAACGCACGGCACTGTCCAAATTAATATGCATCTCTGTGAAACTGATCATATTGATGATTATTCATACCACACCAAATTTGGTTGGAATCGCACGACTAATAACTGAGATATAGAGGGGGGCCGTTTAAAGTGAGACACGCTGTATATATAAGACGAAATTTTTTGAAAATAAAATTTTTGCATTTCTCAAGAAACATGGACGTAGGGGCGCTGGAATTTCTTGCGCGGACCGTCTTAATCGACCACTGAATATACTAGTTGAATACTCAAAGATAGAAGCCATCTACGAAAATAAGTACTTAGTGCACCGAGCTAAAAGCTGAAATAGTCTCTCGAATCACATAGTGTGCGGTGATAAGTGTGTGGTGTAACACCTACCTAGTGCAGCTCTCTCGTGTGATATATTTTGAGCATCGAGTCTGTGCGATATAACGAAAATCATCTCGCAGCCGAGATTCAAAACCAAAAACGGCGTTACGTAAAGTGACATCGTTCTTTACTGGACTTTCAAACAATAAAAAGATCAATAGAACAGAATAACTTATAGGCTACGAAATGACCGATACAAATAGAAACGTGGTTGACGCTTTTAAGGACCTCTTGCGCCATCTAGCGGATGATAGGAGATACGAAGACGCGACGCAGCAGTTTTCTCTATTGAAAACAAACGGCGACCGTGTACAGTTCGTCCACGGGCTACTAGATGGTTATATGCTTTTCCCGGCTTTTTTAACGGACAAAAAGAGTGACGCTATTGCTTTTGCTTTACGACAAAGAGGAAATGAAATGTTCAAACGGAGGAATAATAAATTAGCGTTGGATTTGTATACAGAGAGTTTATGTTATGCTGAAAAAGAATCAGAAAATAAGTCTTTGGCTTTTGCTAACAGATCAGCGGTTTTATTCGAAAAGGAAATGTATACGGAGTGTTTGATGGTAAGTAACGATCATATAATATTTGTGAAGATATTTATAGTGTAGCGTTGTAAGATAAAACTAGCGAAATAAACTTGGAAAATAATCAACCAACTGTTATATCTTCACTGAAATACAGTACCTAAATACATGATGAGTTCAAAATTACTACATTATTATAGGAATATCATTAATCAACAATTTCTAAATGATAAGTTGAAAATTCATTAAATGAAATGATGAATGATGAATTGATGGAATACAACTTGTACAAGCATGAAAATCGTAGAAAAATTATTCTACTTCACGAATAATCAAATTTGAAGATTCAAATTGTTATCCAACGTATTTTCGAGATTTATTCGCGTCATTTGAAGCTAATATGGAAGTTCAATTAACCTTATCCATACAAACATTGTTGAGTTTGATCCAAGCAGTCAGCAAAATCATTGTTCATTTATATGATCATGACTAAAAATGTTGGTTACCCATCAAAAATACCTACCTAATTAGTCATATTATTGTTTCTTGTTATTCAAATAGTTTTATGTTACAATCACCAGCAAAAAAACGGCCATCAAAAAATGTTGCCAGATTGATATGGCCCTGTAACTCTTTCAGTTCTTGTCCGATTCTGGTGAGATTTTCACCAAATCATAGATTATTGTTTTGGAATATTAGCTTGAATTTTAATTCATGTAGAGAGCTGATGCATGTCCTGATCTTTGTACAGGGAAAATCAGAAGTTGCCCTTAAGTGGGAGTGTGATCTCTTCTCAACACAATGGTTCTCAATTCACGTCATTATCTCCTTTTTGAGAGAAGATACAAGTATCTTAATACAGTAAGGAATTTTTCAATGTCTATTGGAAATAATTCGAAACCATTCTCCAACCACCCAGGTAGAACATCATATTGGCTAGAACTTGGTTTCATATTAGCCCAATATTCGAATATTGAATATGGAATTACTAGATTGCACCAATATCAAACCAATTTTTCATTTCAATATTCGATCATCAATCCACTGCCAATATTTTAATAACATTGAAATTTTGTGACCAGCCGATATCAATTTGTCAATATTTATTTGATATTGGAGGAATATTAACGATCACAATATGTCAATTTTCATGATGGGCTGATATTGCATTTCCAATATCAAATCGATCTTGGAAAAAAATATTGACTCAATATCCAATTTATGATGGTTAGTGAATATTGCATTTCATTGTCCAGCAATGTTGTAATAACATTGAAATTTTGTTTCCAGCCGATATTTATTTACCAATATCTATTCGATATTGGTGAAATATTGACGATCACAATGTCAATTTCCATGATTGGGCTAATATTGTATTTCCAATATTGAATCAATCATGGAAAAAAATATTGCATCAATATCAGATTTATGATGGTTGGTGAATATTGCTCTTCGTTGTCCAGCAATATTGCACTGATATTGGTGATTCAATATCATTTCGATATTCAATAATCAATCCAGTGCCAATGTTGTAATAACATTGAAATTTTGTGACCAGCCGATATCAGTTTGCCAATATTTATTTGATATTGGCGAAATATTAACGAATACAATATGTCAATTTTCATGATGGGCTGATATTGTATTCCCAATATCGAATCAATCTTGGAAAACATATTGTATCAATATTTTGTATTTTTATTCAGCCAATATTAGTTCATCAATATGCGACCCATTTCAGATAGATATAACTAATGAAATATGCCAGAACCAATATTGCACTGACATTGGATTTCTAATATCGAATCGATATTCGTGATATTTCTCTTAGTATTTGAGCTACGTTATAACAGTTGGCGCCACTAGCACGCCTCCAACAAACGACTGCTGAGAGACATCAAATACCGCATTCGTTCAACTTGCAAACTAAGTATTCTGGGATACAGGAAACGAAAATGGATTTGATATTGTACAAATATCGCAATTTTTTAATGAGGCTAATATGGCTTCGAATTTTGATTTCGAGTTTTGTTGAAAAACGAAATTCAATATTGGTTGAATATTATAATTCAACATGAAGATAATATTGCGAAATAATCACATCCTCATTTTAGCCAATATAGTAGGGGAATATGAATTCAATATCGATTTCACATATGAAAATTATAAGAAACCAGTTTTCTATAAGTTGGCATCATATATTTGTCCAATCTTGTATACGAATATTAACTCGATATTGAATAGAGCATATCGAAACAAGATTGAAATTCAACATAGCACCAAGATTCCAGAATGTTCACATTGATTTATTGACCCGATAATTAAAATTAATATTTTCCCAACATTCACCATTTATTGACTCAATATTGAACCAATATTAGTGTTCTACCTGGGCATCTGATTCATCATGAAAGGTGATCTCTTTTCGTCCATTCTTAACAACAGTGGTTCTTCATTCTTGTCCATATCCTCTTTGGTATGGTATGGTATGACATTTTTTTAATTTTTATAAATCAACAATAATGCAGAGCATCTTTGGGAGCTACTATTCGCCCTTCAAGGAAAATTTCATCAATTATCAGATGTTTTTTCGAGTTGTTAATTGATAAGTTCATATAGGTGCTGCAATTTTAAGAAATCCATACTTTTTCAAAACACTTGATTCGTCTCTTGTGAAGAAGATATTGGTGTAAATCAAAAACCATTATGTAAAGAAGGGAGCACTCTAATCCAAAACAAGAAAAAGTTGAATTTAATCATTCACTTCTGCCACAGGGCGTTAAGAAGTTAAGCATGAAATAATAATTTTTGTTTTTTCCTATATACCTATTGATCAAGTCATCAGCTCGTTTTGAGAACTAAAATTTAGGTCAACATTTCGAATAATAAATCTACGATTTGGTAGGAATTTCTCCATAATCGTACAAGAAGGGCGATCAATTTGGCATTTATTTTTATTGGCCATTTTTTTTCACAGGTGAGTGTATATTCATTTAGTAGAATCCACAGCATTTATGTTGAAATTTTCAGTTCGAAAATTATTTTTCCAGGATATTGAAAGAGCTTTGAATCACAATTATCCAGACCATTTGAAACCAAAACTGCTGAATAGGCGTGAAAAAGCAGAGCTCCTAGAAACAACACAAGCCAATCTACAGTATCATCAACCGTTACCAGAAATTCCAGAAGATTCCAGGAATAGCCATATCGACTGCGCTAGCAAATCGATCTGTATAGAATCCACCAAAGAAAAAGGCAGACACATAATTGCTACTTCTGATATCCACATAGGCGATATCATAGCAATAGAAAACCCATTTTGCTGCATGCTAATCAACGAACCGTTCTGTCACTGCCACGAATGTCTCAGACTCTGCTACAATCTGATACCTTGTGGGTACTGCACTCAAACTTTATATTGCAGTGAAGATTGCCGAGAAAATGCACAACTTTATCACCAATACGAGTGCAAAATTTTGAAGACACTCAAGGCTTTGCAACTAGACAAGATGAAGCTACTGCCTCTCAAACTTGCTCTAGTTGCTAAACAAAATTACAAACAGATAGGAGAGTGGAAGCTAGATGCCTCAGATGCCAAGGAAGAGAAATACCACTCTGATAGATACAAAGAAGTGCATCATTTAGTGGGTAATACAGAAAGCAGGTCTGTAGCTGACTTATTCGCAAGGGCAACAACTGGTGCCATAATTTACCAACTGGTGAAGGTGCATACAAACTTTTTCGAAGGAGAAGAAGAAGAAAGTATTTTCCGGGAGCTGATTTTGTTGCATCTGCAAACTGCTGCGTGCAATTTTCATGAGGTATCAGAGTTTGTTGAGAAGGATAGCGAGATAAGTCAGGAGGAGATAGGTGCTGGAGCATATTCCTTTTTGAGTTTGTTCAATCACAGCTGCAGTCCCAACGTCGTTAGGCACTGTTATGGACCTATTATCGTCCTCAGGGCTATTGAAAATATCAAGAAAGGAGAGGAGTGTTACGACAACTATGGGTGAGTAATATAATGGTCAGATTTTTTGCTGAAGTAGGTACCTAGAATCATTAACAGAATATCAATAACGACACAACCTGTTGACCTAATAACAATAATGATCATAATTATGGGTGGATACAGATTGTCAATTGGCTAGACCATTTCGAGTAGCATATGAGAAGCATTCATGTTTTGAAAAATCCATTTATAACCAAAGCGACTCATTCTCAGGCGTCTAAACATACGACTATCAAACTTTTTGAACTGTCAAGCATTGCTTTGCCATCCATAGTTACATCGTTAAACACTCCAATGCTGCGATACCAATCAGAATAGGAAGACGCTATAATACTAGTTGTCTTTGTCACACCCATATAATTTCAAATTCTTATTAATTCAATTTCATATGAATCATTGAAGAAAGAGCTAAAGTCTTAAACTATCATCGCGACAATTTGTTTTTGGTGATTATAGGTTAGGAAGTTGTTTCGGGTGCATATGTATCCCATCATCAGCCTCTGTTTGATGATCAGAACGGATTCCACAACGGGAACCAATCATTCTGATCCGAAACATTCTTCAGCTGATTAAATTGTCGTGGAGATTCGTATAATACTACTTGGAATTATGAATTTGAAAACATGTGTGCATGCCGCTTTCAATTATACGATTTTGAAAAACAAAGAAGTAAATGAAAATTATTACTCATCAGCTATACGATATAAGTAGGCTCTACGACTGTTTGTTATCTGATTGCACCAAATGTTTTCTGATTTTGTCTTTTTGATTTTTTTTTTTTTCAGGATACATTGAAGTAATGATAAGTTGCAAATGATAATGTCCCACTCGTATAATTTGCAGCATGAGCCGTAGGCTCGTAGGAAATGACTCGTTAAACAATATACTATCTGTCACATATCATATGGAGCGTAAAACAGAACTATAGCATTCAGCAATGTCCCTCTATTTTGTTGTTTATAGGATCGTGATTTACTACTCCACTTCGAGCAAGCATGACCTCCTGATACTTCTTAGTTACGTTGAGTTTTCAAATTCACCAATTCCACCATGATAGGTAATAATGAAAACTGACACTAAAAATGTCATCAAAATTGCTCGCCTGAAAACGCTTCTGCTCAATACGTAAAGGAACTTCCAAATCACAGCCTCCGATATGTCCGACAGTCGGTCGGTCATTTTATACACACACGTTATACGTTATATACGCCGTGTAAATGCAAGGAAGTGCGGATTTGTTTCATTTTCAAGGGTATAGATAAATGTATGTTATCAATGTGAAATATCGTTGAAAGCTAGTAACAAGTGTATGGAATACTCTAGTCGTTCTAGTGGTCGAGTTATAAGTGAAAGGGAAAACATTCTAGACGATGATATAAGCAGAGAAGAGAATGACAGACGACAGGGGGTTTGTTTTCATCGTTTGCTACTTCTGACACTTTTGAATATTATTTTGTATATTCGATATGGTTCGAAAAATAATGATCCTTGTGACAATTTTATTTTGCCTAAATCAGTATTGAAACTTATAGGAACCAATAGCAATGAAGTCGCAGCAGATCTGTATGATGTTGAATAAGAAATATGAGTCATTATTGTATGGTTTGACAGGTGTATCAATGTGTGATTAGATCAAAGACATACCACAAATAAGATCGGGAAATATAATATTATATGTTGTGATCAACAATGTACCAACCTTATAGTACTGAATGGAATTGTATAGAAAAAATTACCCATATTCATTATAATGTGTTTTTTTTTTTCATTCTAAACAGATTCTGAATAAAGTTTTCTACGACTTTTCATCAGATTGTTACTGAAAATGAAGAAATATAATCGAAGATATGTCGCTACATCAGGAAATAAAAGTCGCTAACTTTTCAAAAATCTCGACTTCTAGCGGTTTTTCCTAACTTTTTATGTTCAGCAGCTGGCAACACTGGTCCTGAATACGCACGCTCCATATTGAATCAATTTCGATGTTGTAAATGTATGAGCTTTGATATTTTTATGGCATTGGCGATCTTGTTAGTAATTCACGTCAGTGGTAATGAAGAGTAAATAAAAATTTTACGATTGATTCAATTTCAGCTATCACTACGCATTGATGTCCAAACCGGAACGACGTATCAACTTGAAACAGCAGTACTTCTTTGAATGCAGCTGCACAGTCTGCTTGGACGACTGGCCACTGTTGGAGCACTTGCCCATAGTAAAAACGGATATTGGGATAGACGAAGAAGATTTGTCGCTTCTACGCAAAGGCGATTTGAAGTGCAGCAGAAGAGTTTTAAGGGAGATTTTGCCTAGGATGGGGGAACTGGAGGAACTGAGGCCTAACAGGAATCATGCTGAGATGCAAGAGGTGGTCAAGCAATGTTTTGCTTGTTTTGGGAATGTAAGAAGAACATTTTGATGAAATAAATTATGCGATTGAGAATCATCAGTTTTCCTTATCCTTGTGGCATTATTTTTGTTTGGAATCATGAAAAAATGTCTTTATCGGCTTTATCGATCGGTATTTCCAATAAGGAGTGGTTATATGGAGAACTTTTCATACTCACTTAGAACACGAATCCCGTTGAATCGTATTGAAAGTTGAATAATTCATTTCCAAGAGGAATCTTGAAAAAATCATACACTGCAACAACTCGTCTTTTCTTGAAAGAATCTCGCAGATACGAAATTTGTAAATCAAAGTAGGTACCAATATAGAAGTGATCTTTTTAAAAAAGTTTTCGCCGATGTGTACCATATTGTAGTATAACGTTTGGTATACCCTCCTCAATATTTTGGCAAAGAATATTAACGCTATTGGGGTTTGTTGGATTTCCCGTAGGTACAGCAGAATGAATCTGATATTATTGTGTATTAAACCAATACGAAGTTCAGTTCTTTACCATATTCGACAAATATATGATCAACAGTAATAGATCAAAAACTGGAAAAGTTATGTGGCTGTAACATTATCAGAATACACCATGAGTATTCTACGTTATCAAATCAACCATAAGTTCCCAAGTAGCATAAAGTCATAAAATTAACATAATGACTCATTATACCGTCTCAAAGACCACATATTCGCAATAGCTTACGACCAAATAAAAGCTAATGTGCGATTAATAACATTAACAGGTCATTATGATGTCTCGCAGCATAGATATTATAAGCGTTCAATTAATAATTCTCGAGATGATGTCGTACCTACTTACTGTTGTTTGTATGTAAATAAATTGTATGTGTCGTTGAGTAGTACTGGAATGCAGTCGTCGAGACGTTTTGTGACAGGGAATGTATATGTGCATGGTTGTGAGCTATATAGATATTTAGAACGTTTCGAAGACTATGTAAAGTTCAACTTGGTCGTAATGACCACTAATAATATATGTATCTGCCATATGATCATTTTTGTTGGTTATGTATTCGATTTCACAACAAAAATAATTGTGCCGAAGCAAAAGGCACATTTCGGAATATTCTGAAAGAATATGCAGAGGAAGTACCTACTCACATAGGTACTCAAAAATCACCAGTAAGAATGACAAATCAGCCAACTCCAGTGAGGATGCAAGATAATGAAGAGATTCGTTCAAACTTGAAGGAGAATGTACAAGGAAAAAGTTTCCAGATTATACATACTGGGCATCATCGACCAATCATTGAGAGTCTAGATATCGCCATATTGATTGATTCTGAAGATATATGAAGGTGATAGCAAAGCTGGTGTAGAATACTTGAAAATATATTTCAACTTCAAAGATCTGGGCATTAGTTCCAGAAAGATCATACTGTGAGACAATTTATGAATAGAAGTCGGTTTCAAGATTACATCAGTTTAGAAAAAAATATACCAACATAACCTCTATTTGCAATCACACATCCCACGAAGAAGACAGTTGTTTTAATGTCTTGTCTTCACATAGTTAGTAGGTGCAACTATGTTTAACGTGACCATTATTACAGTGGTCAGTGCGATTACATTACAACTCCTTTATCTCAGTTATTGGGATGTCTTTAAGACAATCGCAAATCATTCGAAGATAGAACAGAGCGGAGTAATTACAACGGGTGGCATCCATGTTCTTTGTTAGAATGAGTATGGAATTTTAGCAGCCATATTGCAAAAAAATATTGTAAATGAAAAATACACTACTATAGCTTAGAGTCCCTGTACCTTAGACAAGAGTCCGGACATAAAACTGACAGTCGTTGGAGTTTTAAATTGTGTTTTAATGCTAAGCAATGTGCCATCTGACGGCATATATCACGTGATCATCAAGTGTGATTATTTGGTAGTAGTATTGAAGGTTATTATAATAGTTGTTCACTCAATAGTGTGACTGATTATTATATGATTATTTGTGTATACAACCGAATATGGAAGACACATATCTTCCGAGTCGTTCTGGCAAAATTAGTATTTTCACATATCGCACTTGGCGCCAAAAAAATATCATTTTCGACAGAATGACAGCGCGGGAAAAAGAAAGTTAAAATCCCAATATTTTGTTTCATTTGGTTTGCCCACCTGACAATGTGACGAAACACCATAGTCGTCCCGCACGCTTTTTTTAATTATTTCGAATTTCTGTCACTGTCCACTTTGAAATTTTATGACCGCCAAAATTTAACATTTTAAATAATTTCAATGTCCTGCTGCGTACATTATTGCGATAACTCATTAGAAAAGGGATTCAAGTTATTCAATTTTCCGAATGATCGTTTGAAGATAATGTCATGGAAAAATGCAATGAAACGTCCAGAATGGAAAATTAATTTCAAGAAATCCGCAATATGTGAGGTAAATATTCCAATTTACTCGTAAAAACAGTACAAAAAAGATGAATTTCAGGCCCATTTTGATAGAGATTCTTATACATTAATGTTTTGATTTTGTCACTTTTATTTCTGCTGAGTGTTATTAAATTGAGAGAATCGGAGAAAATTATATTATTGAAACAATTATATAACTTCTATTTTTTTATATCCCAACTGAAAACAACTATATTTTCTTGGCTCTATGTAATACCACGTAGAACACTTGAATTATCTTTCTTATATCTAATGAAGTGAAGGAATATCTGATGACGAAAAATTGCAATAGCCATCTCAGGAATTGATTATGAAAATTTTCGATTCGAAATTCGAACTCCCTGTTGTTTATTATTTGAAAATCTAATAGTTATTCTAGTTAAAATGGCCCTATTTCTCACTTCTACCTACGGCTCGATATATATCTTATTCCTTTTGCATTTTTTGAAAACAGAAAAGGACAGAATAAGTATACCTGTGTCCGGACTCTTGTCTAAGGTATATACAGGGACTCTACTATAGCTGACATTGAAAATTTGAGCTTAGATCTAGAGCTACTCTACTGATTCTAGTACTAGTAGTAGTATTGACGTTGACGTATGACGTGATAATATGTTGACTTCATTGACGTCAACGTCAATTTTTCTTCGGCTCATGCGCATGACAAAATTTTGATCTAAGGAAATACATACTGGGTCTAAAAGTGACTTAGATTAGATCGTGAATATAATGAACTATCTATGGAAATATAAAAATGGAAATATTTTTTTAGAAAAATAGCTAAATGGCTAGATGCAACTTTTAGTAGCTAGATGGGTTTGAGACGAGCCTAAAGCTTTCGAACCGTTCCCAAACCTCATTGTCTGATTGGTCATTGAATCACATGATACAATATGTACGCATGCGCATTCTCTCGTAGAAATAATATACGTATTAATAATCAATACGGATAATCTCTATCTGTTTCCATAGCGAAACATGAAGCCGATTTTTGAAGACAAATGACTATCCATAAGGAAAAGTTTTGAAACAATCAGACACATACTGCTTTGATTGAAAGGCTAGTAAACGTCATTGTCCACCGAAACGCATGTCTTTGATGACTACTATAATAGCGCATGGCGCATGCGTATCATGCCACCAAATCCTTATGGATATTCATTTGTTTCATATTTTTGGCTTCATCCTGGCACCCGTTATGATCCGTATTGTTTATTAATACGTATATGGTAGAAATACTGGCTGCACTTAACACTTTCCTATGAATCAACCTATTCACTATTCCCTGATTATCATTTCATATGAACATTATGATATATAACCTTATTAAAACAAAGTTGTTAGGATGTAGACAGTTTTTATTCAAATTCTTTCAGATATAGAAAATGACATTTCATTGCTCAAACAAATATGGGAAAAATCTTAAAGCTAATAAACTTAAATATTGATGACTCTGGACAGCTTTTGAACACGATTGAGGAGCAAATCTCCCTGTTTGACAACAGAATTGAACTGAGCGTTCTTCAAATCGGGGCGATTAGTTTCTACAATGCCTCCCACTCTGTCAATTTTGCAATGTAATCTTCCCGTAGCGATAAATGTCGACAGTTCCCTGAAAAACAATATTTTTCTCAGCGAAATCGTCATAAGAAAAATCAAAATTTAATATTGAATGAAAAAAGCAGAAACGGTGCCTAAATATTGGACTTCTAGATTGAAGGTGTGTTTCCGCCAGCGGACATTTAGCCACAGTCAACTTTATAATTGTTGGCAGCAAGCAAGGTCTATTAACTTCTATAAGGTTACCTCATAGTATAGCATTATGGTGCGGGGGTGCGCGGAGGGGCGTGACGTCAGTGTTTCCCCACCACGTGATTGTAGATTTCGTTTGTGTCACTGTCAAATGAATTGAAAAATTTTTTGAATTTGAATTCGAAAGAATCGCGAATTTTAGACTTTAGTTGAAAACAGGGTGACAAGAAGACTGAAGATATCTTTGAAAGAGTGTGAGAGGTTGTATAATAATATGGTCGTTGATTGATATATTACGCAGCGTAAGCGTAATATATCAATCAACGATATGGTGTAGTATTATTCAAGGCTGGTCACATCATAAATATCATAATATTATTGTGTGGAGTCAAGAGTGGATATAGAACAAACAAATGTTATGAAATGCCTGTTTGGCAGCCTTCACATGAGATTCAGATAATTCCAAAGGAAAATGAGCTGTGGCAGTGTGAATGTCCCTGTGAAGCAGGCATGTCACGGTTTTGTATACACATTTTATAGGGACTTAAATATGACAGGTAGGAAGGTGCACTTTTGATCTATCACACACACAGGTAAAAAATACATGAAATTTCAGGAATGAAGACTTGGAATATGTGAAGCTGCATATATAATATATAACAAACAGAAGTGGTGAAAATTGAAAAAAGAGAGTAGATCAATCAATGATCTATTATACAGCCAAACCATTTCAATAGTTCTGCTACCTGCTTATTAAAAGAAGGAAAGTGACCCCCCTAAAATCATTCTTCCTTTATATAATTGAAGTTAATTTTACAGGGTATATCAGTCTATTTTGTTTTTTGTTTGGAAGCCAATGAACTCAATGTAAACAACTAGCTATTGCATGGTACTCAGGAACACTGGTGAGTTTATTTACTTATACTTGCTACTTCATTTTTACATGTAGCAAGGAGTCTTGGGAAAAAAGGCAATCAACTTCTTCTTTCCAAAGGATTTTTCAAATAAATTTGTTCAGCATGGAGTTGAATATGAATCCAAAGCTCTTTCAAAATGTTCATTGAAAATGATATTGAATTTCAAATCATGCAAACAAATTTGTGTCCCAATATTTTCCATGGTTAGGATTTTCTCAATATGAAATTATTTTTCAGGAAGGAAGACCATGGAAATAATTGAAATAAGTGTCCTTACTGAGGTCCTTACATAGAGGTTTGTTAAATAATGTGTATTACATTCAGCTTGAATTATTTTCTCAAAATTTTAGGTGAAGGTTCAGAACAGTTTGTGGAACAATGCCATTTGTTGATAGGAGATGGTATAAAAAATGTGAAGTTGGAAGAGAGACACACTTATTATGGATAAATTCAGTTGGGAATAATGGCCCTAAAATGTCCCTAATGAACTTGAAAGAAACTAATTTTCTTGTATGATTCTTCTTCCTCCAAAACTTACATAAAGATTCCAGTTTTTTTGTGATACATTTTGTGTTAATGTTATGAGGAAGATATCTCAAAGGTATTTCCATTATGTTGCACTTTTATTGCATTAATAAAATGGAATGAATTGTGATGACTTCTTTATTAATTCATTTTCTTATTATTGCATTTTCAAACAATAATATGTTCAAAATTGATACTGAAATAAAACCAGTGAGTTAGAATCATTCAATTTATCCAGAAGGAAATCCTCTTTAGTTAATTGTTTCTTGTTTCTCAGAAATGATGGCCTAATCAATTTCAAGATATTTCTTCACATCCCTTGTCAGCATGCCCTTATCCACCATGATTTCATCATTAGGTTCAGACTTCACAATAACATTTTCTTTATTAAAAAATGCTTTATCAGTAGTTCAACCTCCATATCCTTATTAATGCCAACAGTAATCAGTCCTAATGGAGTGGTAGGTATTGCAATAAGAATTTGACTGAGTTTCTGTAATGTGTCTGTACAACAGGAGCACTGAGGAACATATCTTTCTAGATTTCTGTCTTCAGTCTTTTGTACTTATTGCATGTTTTGGGAAAACAGTGAACAATCTCTTGGACACAAAAACATATTGGAAAACTTGAAAATTTGTCAATATTCACTTTATTGCACAATGCTAAATTTGTTTGTTTTGTTTTTCACCTCCGCCATTTTCATTTTGCCGTTCGACAAAAGACGATGGGGAAACAGTGACGTCAGGCCAGGTCAATATGAGGCAACCTTATAGAGTTGAATAGCCTTGGGCAGCAAGTACTGTCAAATGGAGTGTCACTTGTCGAATGTATTGTGTTCAATGTCAATAACAGTTGACTGATCAATTCGCGATAGAAAATAACACGTCGCTCCACCTGGCGGCAGCAACTTGAACGCTTCTGAGCGGTTTGTTTTGATGATATGACCAATTGGCACAAACAAAAAACAAATGTGAACCAATGAAAACAAAGTAAACATGCCGCTTTGACAGCTTTCAAGAACTCCGTATTTTCTATCAAACCAAAAAGTTGCTATGCATTGAATGATCAACAATCCAACAGTTCTGGATCTAATATGAATAGATTTTTTTTTTAATGGCCCAGTTCATTTATATTTGACATTTGACACCTTTGAAGCCAACCGCCAACCTTCCAATAGAAAATGTCTCAACGTTGAAAATGTGCTGTAGAATATTATAAATTAGACTATCTACTTAAAATTCAGTAAAGGTATTTTAAAAATATACATTTACAAATTTTCACGTTCTACTTACTCATCAATGTAAGCCATAGTAACACCAAAAGCTTCGGCCATGTACTGGAGAGTTAGAGATCTGTAAGACTCCAGCAGTTGTGTGTAAGCCAATATCTTCATTTCCCTAACATAGAAACGGTAATGGGGGTTTAAGAAATAATCTTTCCTCAAAATTGTCTCTACCTCAGCTGAAATAAATGTGAAGTTGAATTTTAAAACCTTATAGGTAAAAACTGAGTCGTTTTTTTCTCTTCTCCAGGAAAAGTACATCAGTGTGTAGTGTGTAAAGGTATCCCATTATCACATATCAAAAATGTACTATGTAAATGTAGTAGTTTTCTTTTGATGGAATTTCACCAAATATTTACACTTTTTATTGTTTTTTCAATCCCAAGTATGCCTATTGAAATAATTCCAATCAATTATATTTTAGTCCAATTTGAAAATTCACAGGTGCATTTCCCATATTGAATCTGTGACCTTGAGAAGACAGTTCACCAATGACGTCAGCAGAAAGGTGATAAGGAGCAGAAATGGGCTGAAATTATTTCTTTATTTTTTATAATTGAAATTCCACAAAATTAAAAATAGAAGATGAGACAATTATAATTATTTAGTTGAATGGAATGGCAACCTTTGAATATGATTATGATTTCTGGTGTTGAGTTGGCGGGAATTCGGTCGAAATGTTGAAGAAAACCAATTTTTAAATTGTCGACGTTTCGAAACTTTATTGTTTCATCTTCAGGACACTGAAGTAAAAACAAGAACATACATATTAAAATGATATTTTAAAATGAAGGGTTTTGATAAAAGCAAAATGAGTTATGTAAAATAACAATCCTTATACTTTGTGGATTTTATTTATTTTACTATTTTTGAACCCGGAAAGCCACCCTAAATGTAAGTATCTATCAATGTTGTTTTCTGTAAAGTGTGAGAAGTGTTTTATTTTCAATGATTGTTAATTTACATAACTTATTTTGCTTTTATCAAAACCCCTCATTTTCAAATATAATTTTAAAATGTATGTTCTTGTTTTTACTTCAGTGTCCTGAAGATGAAACAATAAAGTTTCGAAACGTCAAAAATTAAAAAATTGGTTTTGTTCAACATTTTGACCGAATTCCCACTAACTCAACACCAGAAATTATAATTATTTAGCTTGAAAAAAGCAACCAGTAAGCAGTTTTTCCATTTGATGTTTTCATGAAAGCAACAAATATTAAACTTCTTTTTACAATTGAGTTTTCCTTACTAGACTTCATTTTAGAGAAAAAAAATAAAAAAAAAACTAATATTTGCTCATATCTGAATCTCTTTATATGGAACCAAGAATGCTACAAAAATTTCAAAAATCAGTGAAAATATTCCTTCAACAAAAAAGTTTCAATGCAGCTGTTCTAAATGCATACCTACTCATGGATTTACAGGGTGAAAAAAATTAGTGAACAGTGAATAGAGTAGCATAAAATCTAACTTTCAACTGAAAGTAGTAACTCTGAAAAGGACATCACCAATGGCAATACCATAAACAAAATTTTATTACAGGGTGGCATTGAAAATAATTTACTTTTCTGCATTGTTTTTGATAAATATGCATATCCATCATATAGAATGGTTAATAAATGGCACTCACCTAAATTTGTGAAGAAATCAGCATATTGACAATTGTACAGAGAAAACAAATAGTCTTTAACAAATGGTTCAGAATGAAGAACTTCCAGAATTTCTGAACCTTTAACAACCTGAAAAAATACATACATCCAGATAAAACATGCCTGAACATTATTATTTGATGCTTGTACCTTATCACGCAACTGATTTCTTGGCAGACTGATTATTGAAGTATACACAGTGTACCTAACAAAAGCTTTATAGTCCATGAGCTCATAAGAAGTGAAAGTACTGACTGTATCAAGGAATAAGTTGGCAGCAGTTTTGAAGTCTCTCACAGCCATGCAATATGCCCCTTGGTACACTTTCAATCTGTTTCTTCTATCCCAGTCTCCTCCCTCTTCTATCAAACTATTCAAAGCAATAAGTAGATTATGTGGATCAAAAACACTAAAATAGGTACTCACGTTTTTGCTTTCTCAATATTCCTTGTAATGAGATCATGATCAATGAAAAACAATCCTATTCTAATCAAGTGGAATATTATATCTAGCCGGTGACCCAAAGAAACAGTCTTGTCATAAGTCTGTCTGAAGGTGCTGACTGCATTGTCTTTGTCTCCAATTCTGCTGTAATATTCAGCTTTTCTCAAGTATGCTTCTCTGACTTCCATCTCACCTAGGTTTTTCTCTGCATCTTCTATAGCTGCATCAAGGAGTTTTACTTTCTCCTCGTTTTTGGTTTTCAATGTTTTCAAGAGATTGGCATCCAATTTCCACCCTGCATCTTGGCAAACTAATTCGTACCAAGGTGCCATATCTGCGAATATGATGAAGTACGTAGATTTCATAGTTGTTTCCTAGAAAAGAGCTTACCATCTTTCTTTATAGCTTCGGTGATTTTTGAGTGGATTGTTCTATCATTTCGATATTCAGGCAATGTCAAGAGGAATTTGAAATGTGGTAGCTCTAAGTCGGGGTTCTTCTCAAGCCCCTGATCTTCCAAGTTCTCAATCGGCATTTTTGAATAGAAATAACTTTTCAAAACTTTAAAAATCGAATAGGAAAACTGAAAATGATATGACAAAAATTGAATGTCAGATTTCAAAGGATTTCAGAATCAGAAGGGCTGTCAACTGTCAGATAGACTTCAGACTTCAGCCTACTGTCAAATGTCAAATTAATGTCAGTCAGTAGGTGCGTTTTATTGGCAAGATTCTTCCACCGGAACGACAATTCATGTCGTTTCATTGAACGAAATTCTGAAACTGGTTCCAACTTTTCATTCCGCCTTCTCATACGGAATGACAGGAAGACGGAATGACGGTATTTCAGATACTCTAACCTCGAAATACGACTTAAAAATTGCCTTGAAGTGAACTCGCCTCAGGAATTATTTTGGAATTGTTCGCAATTCTAATGCTAGAAAATCTGAAGTCAAGTATTCCTGTAGACTCATCCAAGTATAAAACCCTTTTTCGTATTGAGGGGTCAATTTCATCTATAAATATCAATGTATTTTGCCTTCCAATCGATGCAGCTACTAAGGAGGATAACAAGAAAGCAGGAACAACATCCATTATTGGAATATTATAAATTAAAATACAAATTTTATATAACCTAAAAAAGACCAGCTGAAAGTCACAACTGTCAAAATGAATCACATCGATTCATTGGTCGACAATTCTACTGCCACCAGTGGAAGACAAAAAAAACGCACCTATTAGTCAACCTATTAGTTGCGTTTCATTTGTCCGATTCCGCCACCAGAATCACTTGAAGTGTCGTTTTATTCGCAACTTTTCCGATTCCGGTTGCTACTTTCCATTTCGTCTCACTACAAGGAATGACTGTGAAAGGATAATATACTGTGCCAGCACCCATGTAATTTCGTGTGCGACGGTTTTTTCGCGTGCAAGTTATTCTGTCCCTTCGCTGGATGTACCATAAATTATTCAATCATCGGCTATATTCCGAATTCAACTGGTCAGTACTGTCAGTAGATCCACTGAATCTGCTGAAAATCTGTGTTCCGAAATATAAAATCAAAAATACAGTGCTGTAATTCGGAACACGTTTTCATGTTTTCATCAGTAGTCAGCACTAGTCAGCAGCAGTTGATCACCTGGTGAAATTTATCAGTCTGATTTCCTCGTTTATCCGAACTAGATAATTTAGTTTCCTGCTTGACATACATTTTGGAAATTTAATATTTAACATGGAAGAGCAATCGGTTCTTGTAGCCTTCATAGTTTCTTCGATTGTTGACGATGACGATTCGAGCTCGAGGCACGAGTGATGAAGAATACTTGAACATTTATGTAATATGGCATTAATGATGATGCATTTAGAAGACATTTCAGGTTTATTTGGATATTTATTCACCAACTTGTGTTTCAATAACGGGTATTTTCTGATATTGAAAATAATATAATTAACAACGGAAATAAATGTTACATTCCTTCCCCCTCTAAAATAATGACAGTTTACTGAAGCCACACTACCTTCTGAACTCAGCAATCTCAGCAGAATATTGATATTTGGAATGAATAGTATTCTGCTCACAGGCATCTGTCACATTTAGTGATTTTTTTGATTTCGGAATGGAAAATCAGCAGATTCAGTACTGTCAGTTCAGTCAGTCGAATTTGTCTCTGTCTGTCAATTCTATCTGGCTATGGTCGCCACTGGATATGGTCTCAACAATAAAAACCAACAAAACAATGGAGAAGAAGAACATAACCTAACAAAATAATTTCTTTTAGTCAACAAAAGTGACAGAAGGTGGGTTATCAATTTTTATTTTTGAAAATCTTCAAACATCTTTCTCAAATTATTTTGGAAATCAATCACGATGTATTGAAAAAATTTCTCGATTTATTTTCAATTGATTGTAACTCATATTTTCTGTATCTGTACCATTCTAACCTTAAACCTCTACGTTTTATTTCAGACTTGTTCCTGCTGTCCTAGATTGTCACTGAAAATGGTGAGTTTCAAAGTATTTGTAGTTAATGAATCAATAAGGCCAAGTGTAGTACAAACTTGATAAATTTCCTTTTTTTTTCAGCCACGAGAACTCACAGAAATCAAAGAATTCCTTCTCACAGCAAGGAGGAAGGATGCAAAATGTAAATGTTGAACTTCTGTTGAGCTATAAATCATTATATATTTTCTGGTTTCAGCTGTTAAAATAAAGAAGAACTCTGAAAACACCAAATTCAAGGTCCGCTGCTCAAGGTTTCTGTATACACTTGTAATAACAGACAAGGAGAAGGCAGAAAAACTCAAACAATCATTACCTCCAGGTAAGCTACAATTATTATTTATGAAGTGCTGGCTTTTTTGAAAATTAAAGAATATTAGTAGGTGATTGAAATGTTAATTGCACTACTTGGGAACATTTTTGCTACTCATTTGTTTATATATTGGTACCTACATTATTTATAAGTAGTTAGCATTGTGAACTGTGCCAGATACCAATAAAAGAGTTTGAAGTCCAATTTTAGAGGCACTGCCTCAAGATCATCTTCTTTTCAAGATATTTATAAATATGTGCTTGCTTATGATGTTCACAAAAGTTGTAATTCAACACTAGCTTTTTTCAATAGGTATATTGATTTTTTTCTATATATTAGTATTTTGCCAGAAGTTATGTGATTTGACCTATTAATATGGATATCCTGATACCTTCTGAATCTGAGAGAAAAATATATTTTGTATTCTCACATAACAGGGCTGTTCTCAGATGTCTTATTAGGTTTTTGTTTCAGGTCTTCAAGTCAAAGAAGTGAAGTAGACTTAGAATGATTTTATTTTGTAACATAAAAATATATCCATAAAATAAGGTATGTTTCTTTTTATTTCTTGAAATATATCTGAGGATCTAATAATTAAGAAAAATATATATACTGGACAATTATCAAAGTTGAAATCAATCTGACAAATCTAACAAAACTAAAATTCATTTTATTATTATTATTATTATGCTGGGTTTATCAATTCAACTATACTAAGAATCAAAACTAATAATAATGAACATGAAAATAAGTTGAATACAAGGAAACAGAGTTTAAACATTTACATCTGTCATTTAAATTAAGAAAAACAAAGTTGTCCAACTTTAAACTTGACTAAGAATTAGGAAATTCTGGGCACAGAACATGAACATTGAATTTGTTGAGGTTCAAGTGGAGTTTGGTGATATTTTTCAGGATTCATGAATAATTGTGGAGTCCAAAATCACTTTTTGACATCATTTTGATCTTGAATTAAAACACATTTCACATTTAATTAATATCAGATATATGTATAAACACCCTCATGATTTTTAATAGTTGATTGTTAATTGCATAGAGGTCTTTTCTATATTGAACAAGAGAGAGGAAAAGTTCTCTCCTCTTCCATCTCTCTGCAATGCTACCAAAGTACCAACGTGGCCGCAATGAAATAGAGAGGTCCGATAAGTCTTTCCTTGTCTAACATCTACTTTGTGCTACTGAACTATTTTTCAATTCAGTAGAGTGTCAAATTTCGTCGATGACATGCATGACATAGACATATCGCGTTATGATATCGAAAATAGTTCAGTGGCGCAGACTAGAGGTTAGACAAGGAAAGATTCATCGGACCTCTCTATATTTCAATGCGGCAACGTTGGTAGGATTGAAGAGAAAGATGGAAGAGGAGAGAACTTTCTCTCGTTCAAGGTAGAAAAGAGCTCACTATTAACACAGCATTATGTTTCTGTGCCAAATTTCATCCAAAATAAGATGTAGTATTCACTGGGATCTGCTTGGTTAAAAACAGTTGAAACAGCTAGTGTGCTTAATCTGAATATGATTATTTACTTTTATTTCAAATTTTTCAAACATTTAAACACTAATACAGCTAATGGGTACAGTGCTGCTCAATAAATGAATAGCTATATAAGGATGAGTCATCAGTCAGAAACTAATCAAGATTTTCTTCCATCCATTCTACTTTATTGACATTAAATTAAGATCTATACAAAAATCTATGTACAGAATGACCCACTTCAGATTGAAACACGTTTTAACATAGACATCTTCATGTTCTTTCTACTGTCATCTTTTGTTTTCAAGTTGATTTCACAACAATGTTCTAGCTCTAAATCTCAAAAGTGGGTTGCACTGTTTGTATGCAAATTTATTGAATTTATTATCCCACATTTATAGGCAATGATCATGCATGCATTTAAACTACTGTTGTTTCATCCATTTCAACTACTGTTGTTTCGTCCATTTGAACTACTGTCGTTTCGTCCATTTGAACTACTGTCGTTTCGTCCATTTGAACTACTGTTGTTTCGTCCATTTGAACTACTGTTGTTTCGTCCATTGGCGCCACTGTTGTTTCAACAGCCAATGGGGTGGTTTGATCTGCAGCTGGCTCTGAAGCTACTCTTACAGTTGTAGATTCAGCTTTAACTGATGTTGATGAGGGCGAGGCTTGTGTTGCTAAAAATTTCGGCCATGAACTAGAGGGTGTTTCAAAAATTCGACCGACAACGCTTGACGGTTGATAGCCCACGTGGTTTCATAATTACTGAGATAGGGGTCTTCTAGTGTTTGAAGAAATGAAAATATTATAACTCAAAAATAATTTAATTCTGTACCTATATGCATGGTTTCATCTTTGAATGTGATTTTTCTTGACCAGAAAGTCCGGACATCTTATCCAGTGGTGTGCTACAGGAACTTATGGTAACTTTTCCTCCCATATATTCTACGCCACTGATGAAATTTTATTATTTTCAAATTCTCGAATTGTTCATCAATTATTATGTTCAAAAAATGAATCACCTTCAACTGATCTAAAATGAAAAGCTTTCGACATATTTGACCCAGTTGAAGGTGATGCATTGTTTGAACATGATTGAACAATGAATTCGTGGAATTGAAAATAATTGAAATTTCATAAGTGGCGTAAAAAATTATGGTTGGTAAAGTTTCACCACAACCCCCTGTAGTGCACCACTGGAAAAAATGTCCGGAATGTCTTTCTGGTCAAAAAATTACCCATTCAAAGATTAACGAATACCGAATTTGAATGCAAAATATTCAATAACTGGTTCTTGAGTTATTGTGGAAAAACTATTTTCCTTCAAATACAACGCCCTGTATCTTGAAAACTGAACACTTGAATATCCTATATATCCCTAACTCAGTTATTATGAGATCACAAGGGCTATTATTCGCTCTGCCAATTGTTTGTATAAACATTAAATCAAATAAAGACGTTTATTATTATTATTATTATTACCTGTCATGCGGCGTAGTCGGTCGAATTTTCAAACACCCTGTATAAAATTGCGTAGCCGCTGAAGTAGCCACAAAATAGTAGATTCCCTCTTTTTGAAAATACTGATCGAGACTTGCGTGTCGAAAAACAACACTGACCCAAGTCAGAATTTCGACTTCTTTTTTCGTTGGTTTCTCCATTTGTAAAGTTTGATTTCCATACAGGATGAGTCAAAAATGTGTACCGAGCTTTCTGGACGTGATTGTACATTACAAAATAAGTATAGTTTGATGAATGAACTCCCAAAATGTATATCAAGGAAGATATTTCCTTCCAAAGTTGATGAAATGCTCGCATAACTTCTAAGTCACGAAATTGAGATGTCTTGCATAAATATCTGTTGATCAAATACATCTTTCTGATACATTTATACATTTATGATATTGTTAAAACGGGCATTTTTAGTGGGTGGATCATGATTTTTTGAAGACAACTTTTTTCCTCGTATTCTCTGTTTGGTTAAAAAATTAAAGCATTTAATAGAGCGAAAAAAATTACATGAAAACGATACTCTTATCGAAATACTAAAATTGTAACCGTTTGCGAGATATTTGAGTTTTTGCAGTCACTTGATATCAGCAGATTAATTATCATCACTAACAATATGTTAGGAGGTCATGATCAATTTTGTCCTTGATATTGACTTGGTAACAATATTTTAGGAGGCCATGATCAAATTTGTCCTTGATATTGACTTGGTAACAATATTTTAGGAGGTCATGATCAATTTTGTCCTTGATATTGACTTGGTATCGTAACAATATTTTAGGAGGCCATGATCAATATTGTCCTTGATATTGACTTGGTAACAATATTTTAGGAGGCCATGATCAATTTTGTCCTTGATATTGACTTGGTAACAATATTTTAGGAGGCCATGATCAATTTTGTTCTTGATATTGACATTTATGACATTAACATTGTTATTATCAATTTTCTTGTTGAGTTTTTTTGCTTTACTAATATTATTTCTGCTATTTTCAACTGAGATTTGAAGAAATTGCTGGTTATTCGTTTCCCACTCAATACGTTCCGAATTCTAGAACAATTTTGAGGATTTTGCAAAGATTGCCTGAAAAGAAATGTTTCAGAATGAGAAAGAGATTGTGTCCGGCCAAAAAAGTGTCACTGACAAGCTACTGGATTTTTCTTTTAGGCTCCCAGATAAAAAATTTGTTAAACGCAGTGACATTTTGGGGCAAATCATCCGATTTTTCCCACTACAAATATATTGAAATAATACGCATATTTTTATTTCATAGAAACGACGAGAAAATCCCAAAAAATCGAGTGAAATAAAAAAGTACCTACCCATTGTTGGTCCCATCGTTGAAGGAGGTAACATGGACGGAGGTGGTATAGGTGGGGGTAAAGGTCTCTTGTGGATGAATATCCACAAACAGGGGTGGATTCTTCCCTTCTCATGTCGGTTGTGAAATAATTGGGAAAGCTAGAATAACAGACAAAAGACAAAGTTTTCACTGAAGAAAACTCCAATATGCTTAGTTTTCATGATAAAACTTACGTCAGTTACACAAAATAAAGCACTAACTGCCAGTGTAAGCAACAAACTATTCCTGAACATATCTAGGTCTCTATCAAAATACCAAATAAAACTGGTAATAAAAAATGGCATGCAGAACTAAAAATTATTTCGTCTAATTAGGATAACAATCAATGCAATCTCCTGTTTTTTTTGTGCCAATTCCATTTGTTGTATTTGAATCAAGGTAATTTTTTCCATTATAAAATTCTAATGAGGGTTTTAAAATGAGGTTCTTATCATCAATCATTCTATTGTTAGTAACAATTGATCTATAGCTATAGGAAATTATACTTCCGCTTGAAATGGGTAACAGATTCGGATATGTTAGATTTTTCTCTCTTTTTACCTATGTTGGAAAGTGAAGTTGATTTTCAATTGGAACAAAATGTTTTTCTCGCATTTTTTTATTCAGATTGTTTAACATAAAATATACTATTATATCTCCCTGTATAGGGATCCCAAACAAAACAACACTATACTCAAGAACAACCACATTCTTTATAAAATATATATTCTTATAAGTCCCTGCTATGGAAATAATATGGTATACAGGGTGATCCAAGGTGGAAGGCCTATTAGAAGTATCTGGAGAAAGAAAAGACAGAACATCCTGAAAATTTGGATGCTCTGATAATTGAACATTCTCTATCCCTCCAAAATATTTTCATCGATACAGTGTTGCCACTTCTGTCAGAAACAACTATAGCAACTTCGTTATTTTAAATGGAGCACCCTGTACTTTATTGCATTTATATATTCTTCCTTGAGAGCTGAGTCCATCAATGCATCACACATGGGGTCTAGCAGGAATGATTACAGAGATATAGGGTGTTCAAAATCGAGATTTTTCAATTTTTTTCTGTGGAAACTATTCATTATCGATCAAAACGGCTTACATGTCCCTATCCTAACTTTTGATTCACTATCTACTGGAATTCAATTGGTTAAAATACAGGGTGCTTCAAGATTCAGAATACTGATTAGTATAGATCCTAAAATTGAAAAATCTCGACTTTGAACACCCTATATCTCTGTAATCATTCCTGCTAGACCCCAAGTATGATACATTGATGAAATCAGCTCTTCAGGAAGAATCTAAAAATGAAATGAAATACAGGGTGTTCCATTTGAAATAACAAAGTTGCTAGTTGTTTCTGATAGAAGTGGCAACACTGTATTGATGAAAATATTTTAGAGGGATAGAGAATGTTCAATTATCAAAGCATCCCAATTTTCAGAATGTTCTGTCTTTTCATTCTCCAGATACTTCTTATAAGCCATCCACCGTGGATCACCCTGTATATAACATTTTTGAAGATAATCTCATATTGATGATTGAACAATTAATTTATCATCATATAAGTCAATTGAAGTAAGTAGTTATCTAACAGTAATAAGTAACTTGGTAACATTCTTTATTATATTTTTCTCTTAGGACTAGTTTAGTTTTTGTCTCGCCACCCTGTAGAACTCACAATATGCAGATATGTAAGTACCTAGTTTTCTTGCAAAAAAAATACACTTTTTTTTCTGAATTGCTCAATCTAAGGATAATTACAAAAATTCTAATGACATTAGATGTGGAGTATTAATTGATATTGTAAGAATTTTTTCCTTATTAATTAACATTTATACAATAATATGTAACATATCTTGTATAGGTTCATTATAGATTATAGCATTAAAGTTTGAGTCCTATAGGTAGATTTCAAATAATATCACAGTCTTCAAGAGACACCACTTAGAAAAACACTGATTATGTTTTGCCAAAGTTTAATATAAACTTTTTCCCTATCATCCCCTTGATAGTCATTGTATTCATGAGTGCTTCCTGGTAGTTATCAAACTCAATCATTTGATATGAAGGCCCTTGCAAATCATTATTCATCATCATGGATATCAGTTCATCAAACATCTCCATTCTGTCCTCACTTCCAGCATTCTCCTTCGTCCATCTAGTCATCCAAAACCCACAAATTTGCAGATCCTTGAAAATCAAAGCTGAGGTTGGAACAGTGACAGGTTCTCTAGACATCCCACCATAAGTAACAAGAGGGCTACCATTTTGCAAATAACGCATTATTTCAAGAGCACTCTTACCTCCCACACAATTCAGCGCAAGCCTAGGCCTCTCAATCTTATCAGTCTTGAAAATATCTGTAGTCCTCAATTCTTCCTCAGTCAGTACAAATGAGGCCCCAAGACTAGTCAGAAACTCTTTCAACTTATCTATATCAGGCCTATTTCTCACTATATTCACTGTCTTCAGCCCCCATGAGCGACAAATCTGTATTACATTTTGCCCACAAGCTGAGTTTGCCCCATTTTGTATCACTGTGTCACCAGGTTTAAGATCAGCAAAGTCCCTCAGCATTCTGTAAGCAGTACATGGGTTCACTGTGAGTGTGGCTGCTTCTACTATTCCCAAAGTTTTTGGTATTTTGAGTAGGTTTTCTTGAGGTAGGATTAGGTGAGTTCTCCATGTTCCTAGGTTGTTTGTGAGGGGTACAACATGGTCTCCAATGGTGATGTTTGAGACACCAGAGCCTAGCTTCACCACTTGGGCAACTCCTTCATTTCCTGGAACAGCAGGCAATGGGGGTTTGGAAGGGTATTTGCCTTGGATGGTGTTGATGTCAGCTGGGTTCACTGGAGCAGCTAGCATTTGAACTAGGACTTGATTTTCTTTGGGCTCCTGAATTTCATCTGGTTCTTTTTTGAGCACTTTCAGTGGGTCCCCATATTCAGAGTAAATAAGTTTGGTGCTACATAGTCTTTGGTGTATTTGATTTATTCCACTGACTTGGTGGAGTCTAATTGATTTCATCTTTGCTATCAATGACATTGTATTTATTGTGAAAAAATTATGTTCAGCAGGAATAACGATATTTGTTTAATTACTTCCACACCTCAGATTTCAGACTACCTAGCCAGGAAACCCAATCAAAACATTTAATGATTCTACCTAGATCCTTTTAAGATAAAAACAATTTTCTATAATGATGAACGTTATGTTTCGTTGACTTTATTGACTAGACTTCACATTCGAGTTTGCTTTCACATTTTCCTGAATCATAGGTAGATTCAATTCAATTAAACTGATCAAAAATGTTTCTAAAAATTTTTTAAACAGTAACCTGAAATCGAGAACGACGTGAAGTTGGGTTTCTGTCAACTTCTGTCAAAAAATGACGTTCAGAAAAATGGGAAGAAGATTGCCCGGCCAATTGCGTACTGCACCCGTCAGACAGTCTAGATATTTAGCCGATTGTGCGTTGTGCGAATGGCAAAATCTTTGAAAATTGTCTCTGATAACCAAGTAGACACAAAGATCAACTTATTATAGGCTTGGAGGAGTATTTGAAGTAAAGGTTTGGCATTAAGAATTTGGGAGCCACTTGTGATCGGCAATTCAGGAAATTTCAATTTTACACTACTTCATCCAATATTTTGGCTTCCAACGCACGATTGTTCACATGCAAGATGTGCACGCGATGCGAGATACCACCATATCACACGTTCTATTTTCTACGAAGGTTTGTTTAGACCGGGCTAGGTTATATTCTTCTGAAAAACTTGTTTTCTTTGTTCCCCCTAGTAATTTTACGGAGAATATACACTTACCTAAAAAATAATGCATCGTCAAAAAGTGTCTCAAAGTTTGAAATGAATTTTCGTCGAAACTACTTGTCCGATTTGTACGATTTTTTTTTCGAATGATATGTTATCTTCTGCGGAATATTGGCGTGCAAACTGTTTTCGCATAAGAACTGATATCAAGTTGAAATTCAGAGTGCCCTTTAGCCTTATCATTTTTGAACATTCCTTTTTTGGATTCATTCCATTATCTTTCTAATTTCTCCAGAAAGACACAGATTTAATTGAATTCAATTGACATTATGAGCACGAAAGTAGCAGGCAAAGTTATGGAAAGGCATTTCTTTGACTGGTCGGTGGTCGCATGGTACTTTTGATAATAATAGAAGCCTTTACGAAAAATACATATTGGTGATCTCAGAACCATGGTGTCTATATAGGGTAAGTATTCTTGTTGATGTAAGATAATGCCAGAGGCCCCACTTCGCCTGAGTTGTGAGAAATTTTCTAGAGGACATGGCCAGCTCGAAGCCCGGATTCAAATCCCATTGAGAATCTCTGGGACATAATTCTTTGGACAAGAATACAAGAGGAACGTGATTTGAATACTTCAGAAAACTCACACGGCAGAGACTGATGATTCAAATTTGGGAAGACCTGGGCCAACATGAAATTATTAGGTCTCTTATTATTGCGTATAGGCTGTCTTTGCTAAAAAGTTATTCATGCTCGCAGCGGAAATACTCGCTACTGATTCTTCCAACTTGTGACTGTGCATTCTGTTTCGTTTCTCTTTGGTTAATTTCGTATATTAATTTTCCATAAAATCACGCTATAAAATGGTGTTTCTTGAGTATCAGGAAAGGTGAAGTGAATCCAAACAAGAAATGTTGAAAAAATTAGGCTCAAGTGATATTTCTATTCTAACTTGACAGATTTCATTATGAAAACACGGTGTAATATATACCTTGTATGTATAAAAAAGAAGTTGTTATGCGAATACAGTGTGCACAACAATGTTCAGAAGGAAATGAGGTCCAAATCAGACTATAGTTTTGACGAAATTGTATCTCAAACTTTCGGGGGAGTCGTTAATCTATGGTGGTGCGTTAATTTCTTGGAGAAATGTAGTTTTTAGGAAGAAAATGTCTCTTTTGTTTTTTCAGGTAATTTTTTGTCAGTCTGGGTTGAAGTGTTCGGAAAATTAGTCTTCTTGAAGGATAATTTTACCCAAGGAGTAGTATAATACTTATATTACGTCATAATGTTGGGAGCTAGAATATTGGATGTAGTGTGCTGGAACTGTCTGCAGGCACTCGTACTTTTTGCTGTAATATTTGGTTGCTAGCATATATGTTGCTAGATTCATACCGCTACAACAGGTTACAGTTTATGAGTTTCGGCCTTGAATTTCAAAATTCATAATCATACATTGTTATTTTATTGGATCTTGATTGTGTTTTTATGTTAAGTATTTACGATTATACTTTTACCAAAGGTCAAAGACGTATTCAAATTCAATAAAAAGTCTCGAAGGTGTTGTATTTCTAAAAACTGTAGCAGCTTTATTTGAGAATTGAGCTCAAATCAAGAATCAAATATGCATGAAGCTTACTTGGAAGTGAATAAAGTGCGAACCAAGGTGACTACTTTTGGAAGATGGGTCGAAGAATCACCAAAGACTTCAGAAGACATTGAAGATATTGTACTAATCATCCCAGGAAATCCTGGTATAACCAGTTTTTATAATATCTTTGCTAAAACACTCCATGACAAATTGGGGTATCCTGTTTGGTGCATTGGACATGCTGGTCATAATTTTCCAGATCAGCCCATAATGATTCCCAAATTAGAAGTTAACAAGGAGCTGTATGGACTGAAAGGCCAAATTCAGCATAAGGTAATAAAGTTCTGTGAATAATACCAATGTTATCTTACATTTGAATAATATTGCACCCATTCAAATCTGTATGATTCAAAATTCTGCAATAAGTATATATTATTCAGTTTTGATTCAAAAATAGAATTGGACTCAGGATTGGACCTTGTGGCATACCACATTCACAGTGCTCCTAATAAAGATCTAAAACAAGTCAACCACTAATTTTTTGCAGTTTGTCCACATGATTCAAAGTTCTGCAATGAGTATAGTTTTTTATTTAGTTATGAATCAAAAATACAATTGTTCCAGGTGGATTTCATTGAAAAGTATCTAAGTGGAAATGTAAGGCTACACTTGATAGGACATTCAATAGGTTCTTACATGATTTTGGAACTGTTGGAACATCCATCTCTAAAAGACAAAGTAGCTGATGTAAGCCTTCTTTTTCCCACAATTGAACACATGGCCACAACTAGTAATGGAAAGTTTATGACTGGTTTTGTTAAACACATAGTTTGGTTGATAGTTTTCCTATCTTGGTTCTTCACAGTACTTCCCAGTGCACTTCAGTTCATTCTAGTATACATTTATATGACTATAGTAGGAATGCCTAATCCCAATTTGGATAGTATCATGGATTTGGTCAAACCAGGGGTATTGAAAAGGGTTTTCTTCTTGGCTTATGAAGAAATGGATCAAGTAAAAGAGAGAAACAATGAAGTGATCAAAAGAAATTGTGCAAAGATCAATTTTCACTATGGGGTCAATGATGGTTGGGCGCCAAAAAGTTTCTGTGATAGATTGAAAAATGACATTCCCAATGTACATGCCCAGACTAGCAATATCAATCATGCCTTTGTATTGAAAAGGAGTGTAGAAGTAGGGAAGATTGTTGCTGATTGGATCAAAGGGAAACAGTAGCATATACATATAGATCAAGGGTTACATTACAGTATTTGTTAACAAATCAAAACAACTCATTATTCAATGATACTTTTTATCTAGGAAATAGGCTTCACATTCAATGCTGTGGTATTTATTTTTATTTATATTTTATACTTATGGAAAATGGAAATATATTCTTTTTATAGAGTATTCGTCTTTAATTTATTTTTATTATGAGATAATTTCAAGATAACTAGAATTTTTATTTCCTTCTTTTTAAGAACATGCATTTGGAGTGATAAATTCATAAAAGAATGATTTTGTTACCCTATCCTATTCTTCTAGTTGAAATATTCACTTTTTATACATGTAGACAAACCACTAGGCCAAAAGTGCAAAAAATTCAGTAGTAAAGTATATAATATTCTGAAGGCAAGCATCTTTGATTTGTGCATATGGAAAGATATCTAGAATGTACTTCCATCAAACTAATGGAATCACTTTGATTTTTCAATCTTGTTTGGGACATAATTTTAGGCTAATTTAAAGCTAATTTATTACCTACCCAATATCCGAATTTATATTGCTCTTTGATTTAAGCAAAAAAGTGGTCCTAATAAGGATTGAAGCCTTAAATTATGGTAGGTATAATATCATTTTTGTGATTGGACTTTTATTTATGGTTCTGCTGCTCTAGCATTAAGCTAGCAGAACCCAAGTTTTTTTCATTAGCCGTTCGCCCCTCGGGTATACTCCAGTCCTGAAAGATGGGCCACACTGTATTTCAAAATAGTATTGTAGGCAAGTTTACTTCAGATTATGTCATTAAATAATATTTGACTCAAATCAAATTTCTCAGATTTGTTTTGTAAAATCATTGTGTAATAAAAGATAAAGCACCATTTTCGACATCGGCCAGTGATAATGAAAGGTCACAGAATTTTTTCACGTTATTATGGTTATATGTGTAAGACCAGTGGAAACATGGAGATCAGCTTTCGTGGTAAGAGAGCTTTAGTCACAGGTGCTACTAAAGGTAAGATTTTTACTATATTCAATATGGGTGAATTGAACTTTGCTATATTTGGGTTCTCCTGTAATAGGTGAAGATTTTTTTTAATTTTTATGTAAATAGGTAGGTACATGTTGTTATGTGTTAGCTCCTCTATAAAACATTTGATTATCATTATATTGATTGTTGAATTTATAGTCATTTCCCACGACTATGAAGCTTGCAGAGCTGCAAATGATACGGTGGGAAATTAGCATTTCGTGCGAGTTATACACTATACTTTTTCTACGGCTGTAACAGATAACAGCGAAATTTTGTACCCCTTTCGGCTTGTAACCATCTGATTTTCTCCTAACTACGTACTGCTCGTCTATTAGACAGCGCTGTCATTGCTTGAAATTTGACATTATTTCGATCATGGCCGATGTGATTTTGTGAAATAATAATACACTGAAGTTATTGTGATATCAGATGCGGAAATAAAATTGATGACATGCAAAATACTTACCTAATTGAATATAATAAGGCTGCCACACAATAATTGAAGTTTTATGCAATACGTTTTGAGGTTCAAGATTTGATATGTGTAATAAAAATAAAAACAGGATGCGAAACAGAATTAGAATATGAAAGCTGGGATTCCACCAATAAGGTTGTTTGAGGGTCGTGACCAGATACGATTATTCTATAATTATGTCGGTATGATCATTTCACTTGATTATTTGGAATTTTCTCGTTTCTACAAAATAAAAATATGAGTATTATTGCAATACTAGCAGACCTTGCAAACGTTTGTTTTGCTACATACATTATTTCTATAATATATTTTTTCAGTTCAATATTATTATTTTATTTTCTACTTCTTTTTAGTTTCGCTATCTATCAGAGCGTGTTTCTTCTTCAAACTACCATTTATTTCAACTTCTTTTTAGTCCACTTGAATTTCCCAAATTTTACGAAAGAATCATAATATCCGACTCCTAAAACCCCAGATGAAAATTTTGAATAGAATCGGAAAGTAATTACAAAACTAGTCCGCAATATCGGATCTATCATCTTGATCGATTTCCCTGATTTTGACAAAGGAATCATAATTCTTGATCCCGAAAACGCCCACTTACAAATTTTGAATAGAATCAGTGTATAATTACAATTTTATATATATATAATTACAATTCCGGTATATTGGTTTCATCGCCTTGAATTTTATACTAGGACATCCCAGGGATATCCTTTATCGGGGCAAAGAACATTCTAGGGACGTTCCAGGGACATCCGCTGGCCTCCAAAAACGGCATCCAATGGATGTCCTTCTGGTACGTCCCTGGGATGTACCAATTACGAGAAAAGGATATCCCTATGTTGAATTAGAAACTTACCTGAATATTTTTTGCAACGTTTGTAGTTGGATTGCAACATATAAGGTTTGTTTCCGAATAGAAGTTTCCTCAGTAGACTTCATCCACATCTCCACATTACGTGGGTTATAATCAAGACCTGGAATGCCAAACACCGTGCTGCTCGGATCTAAAACTAAGTATCAATTTGAAATTTGAATCATGAGACGAACATGGAATGAAGAGTCTGCATATTGTTTTCAACATTCGTTACTGGAATGCGATATATTTTCATAATTTAATAATTAATCAACTATCTCAATGAATACGAGGCAGGCAGATAAGCAACAATTTTCTCTGCGATGAAAACACTGTATATACCTAACCCATCTAGCGTCTACCTCCTTTGCAGAGAGGGTTTATGAACGCAAAGTTGGTAAACTCCCCTCGTAAGGGTACCTGTCGTGTTTCCATAGAGACATAAAGGTGAACATCTGTCTATCAGTTTGCTTGAGAATCTGAAAAAAAAAAATCAATGTATCGCCTTCCGTACGAGCATGGTCTTATGAATTCAAAAAAGTATACTCTGGTAATTTTTCTTTTTGGATCGTTCCTTCGGTTCGGCTTGACTGGATGGCTTTCTCGGATTTTGTGTCAAATAACAAACACTGTGCTTCTGCAACTAAACATCATATATCAAATATCGAATCATATGAATCAAAAATGATTATCATTAGATGCGGTACATGGATGTTGAATTAGAACCTAGATATTTTCTTGCAACGTTCGTAGTTGGATTGCAATATCGAATCAAATCAAAAATCAAATCACGGTGATTCCAAAAATCAAATGAAATGTAGGGTGATTCATTAGAAAAAATTGTCGTGGTTGCCTTAACTCAAACGTGGATCACCCCAGTATGTGCAATTTTCCGTTTTGAATGTAGCAAATTGAAAATAAAAATCGACTTGTTTCAGGAGATTCCTCAGAAATGGATAGTTTGGCTCAAATATAGTTATTTATGTACCAAGGACGAAAAACTGTCTATTAGTATAGTCGAATCTGCAGTCATCAGGCGAGACAATAGACAGTTTTTCGCCGAGGTGCATATAACATTCTTTCGTCGACCTGAAACACTAAATTTTACGTGAATAATCAATTTGACAACAGCAAATTTGAAAATCACTCCGCGTGGAACAGGGTTGCCAGTTCGATTTTTATTCCATCAGTAAATACCTTGTAGAAAATTCAGGTATATTTTATGCTATACGAATTCCAAGCAAGGATAATGAAATGAACCTATGACATGACGTCACAACATTATGTACATTTAGTATACAGAAAAGATACCTATTTCCAACATAATAGAAACAAAATTAAAGAATCATTCTCATAAAAAATATTCTCATTTTGAAAATATCACAAAATACAGTTTCATAGGTACTTATTAATATTGATATTTGAGTACCTATATCGACAATGGAAATGTATAGTGAAAATAAAGAACAAGAAAACAAGAAAACCGTGTGGTGGTCGGATTAGAATAACCCCACGGTAAGTCCTGCCTGTCGTAGAAGGCGACTAAAAGGACGCCAATAGGTGGAAGATGGTTAACGCCATCGCCCGGTGCGATACCACCACATCAAACATAGGCACTGTGAAATGGGTATACTTACCCGTGTTTCAGTAGCTGGTTGATGTTCCGGCCAACCCAACCCAACCCAATTTCCTTTTCCTTCCACGCCAACCTCCCTTTTTTATACAGAATACGCGATGATGAGTTCTCCTCAAGTAAAATTATCCGGAAGTAAAATACCTCTCCATTCGGATTTCCGGGCGAGAGGTGCTGGAGGGGGTTCACCATCGGCTCAAAAAGTCCTCAAGATAGACCTATGCAACATCCGAGGTCTAAGTAAGAACATCAACGATGTCCATCGACACCTTCAAATTGAAAAGCCAGACATATTAGCTCTTACTGAGACACAGGTCAATTCATCCACCAATACGACCTATCTGCTCTGTCCTGGGTACGAACTCCACACACGTTTCAGATTCAAGGGAGGTCTCTGCCTCTACTCTAAAACGAATCTCTCATGTCAACGAGAAAAAACTTTGGAACCAAATAAGTTTGATGTCATGTGGTTCAAACTCGATAGCCAGAAACAGACCAAATACCTTTGTTGTCTCTACTTATCACCAAATGATCCATCCTATGAAGAGCTCTTCGAATTCTTGTCTCTGAAGCTTGACCAAATTCAACAGAACCATCCAGCAGCAGAAATCATCATCATGGGCGATTTCAATGTACACAACACTGCTTGGCTCGTACACTCTAACAGAACGGATGAAGCTGGGCGACAAGCCGAAGCTTTCGCCATCACTCACGGCTTAGAGCAGCTTATCAAAGAACCCACACGAATTCCCGATGCCAATAACCATTCAGCTAACATACTTGACTTATTCCTCACTAATAATTCAGCACCCTACACCATAGATGTACGAGCTCCACTTGGCAATTCTGACCACACACTCATCTCCACAACCTGCCCATTTTTCATTCCATCAACTGCTCTGGCACCCCCACGTCTTATATGGCATTACAATTCAGGAGATTGGGACGGTCTCCGCATGTTTTTCTCCGAGTTTCCTTGGCATAGAGTATGCTTTGACTCTGAGGACCCTTCACAGTGTGCTGCAGAAATATCCGAGATTATCATGCTCGGAATGGACACATACATACCTCATTTTTCGAAAAGATCATCACCTTCGAAACCCTGGTTCAACAAAAATTGTTCTAGAACTGTTGCCTTGAAACAAACAGCCTACCATCGCTGGCGCAAAAACCCTAACCTCGCGACTAGAGCAGAATACGTTGATGCCAGGAATAACTGCAGCCAAACAATAGATGCTTCGAAAGAAACATACAATGCCAAGATAAGATCGAAACTCATAGATTGCCCCAATGGCTCCCGTTCGTTTTGGTCCCTTGCTAAAGCGGTCGGAATAAATTTCACTGATAGTTCATTTCCACCACTGTCCAAATCCGACGGCACATTAGCAACAACATCGCAGGAGAAAGCAAATATTTTTGCAGAGATGTTCGCAGCAAACTCTACTTTAGATTCCCAAGGAAAACTGCCGCCAGACATTCCACCCGTTGAGAGTCGAATGCCCGAAATCGTCTTCCGTCAACGCACTATCAGACGAATTTTGCTTGGTCTCAAAACGAATAAGGCTAACGGTCCTGATGGAATTCCACCCATTATCCTAAAAAAATGTGCACCAGAATTGACACCGATTCTCTGCAAGTTGTTTACCATCTCGTACAGGTCGGGTATTTTTCCATCATGCTGGAAGACTGCTAGAGTCCAACCAATCCCCAAAAAAGGGAACAAGAACCTGCCCAACAACTACAGGCCCATTGCCCTGTTATCAGTAATCTCCAAAGTGATGGAGAAAGCCATCAATATTGAGCTTATCAAATATCTGGAGAGCTCAGGAATCATCAATGATAGACAATACGGCTTTCGCCACCGAAGATCTACTGGAGATCTACTTGCCTACGTCACCCATTTATGGCAATCTTCAATGGAAAAACACGGGGAATCTCTAGCTGTCGCGTTGGACATATCGAAAGCATTCGACCGTGTTTGGCACGAAGGACTCCTCCACAAACTACCATCATAC